TGAGAGATATTGGCCTATAGTTTTCTATTTTGGTGCTGTCTTTTCCTGGCTTTGGTATCAAAGATATGTTTGCTTCATAGAATGAATCTGGGAGGGTTCCGGAAAAGTCCCTGACAGCAGGTTATCCTAATGCAATTAACTGTTTGATTGAGGTACTGCCATATATGCAAGTCATTTCGGCAATCTACTTTTCCAAGATTTAATTATGAAAATTTTAAGTGTACAGATTTTATAGTGAGCACCCACATCCCCACACCTGGATGCTGTCATTGACATAGGACAGCACTAGCTTCACTGCCTTGATTGTTATTGTTGTGCACCTTCGAGTTGGAACTGACTCCTATCTGAACTGTGTTCAGAGGCTGTAAATTGCATAGGAGATTGACCATCTTTCTCTCATGAAGCAGCTGGTGAATTCAAACTACCTACTTTTGGGTTGACAGCATGACTCCAGTCTCAACTCTTAGTGTTTTTTTTCAGGTCAAAATATTTAGTTCTGGTTTTTTTAGTCTCCATTTCTGATATAACCTGGTTGTTAAATTAGAGTTTGCGCTTTCGGTGCATATATTGCTTTTGTAGCATTCATCTTTAACATTTCTCTTGCTATAAACAATTTAGAGTTAACAATACTTAGATTGCCTGTACTTTTGCCATCTAGTCGGTGACAGCCCCCAGCAACCTCTCCCTGTGACAAGTGAGTCACAAGAGCAGGACGCCTTTGTCTCTACCTGCCCCAGTTTGGGAAGCTCAAGGCCTCCAGGGTTCTGACACAGCTGTGACTTCTGTTGGGACTAGTTGAAACTTGTCACATGTAGCAATGTGCGCTGGGTTCTTTGAAAGTTGAATAAAATCTCAAGCCTCCGCTGGAGCTGACAGTTAATGTTCTTTTTTCTTAACAGAATAAAAAGGGCACAGAACTGCTTCTTGGAGTGGATGCTCTGGGACTTCACATCTATGACCCTGAGAACAGGCTGACCCCCAAAATCTCCTTCCCGTGGAATGAAATCCGAAACATCTCATACAGCGACAAGGAGGTTGGACACATCTCTACTGCAAATGTCACTGTGGTCCAGGGACAGACCGAAAGCCTTCTCAGATCCATCCCTCTGGCCAGAACATCCCCTGCTAGCCCACCTTCTTAACAGGAAAATTCCATAATTCCCAGCCCCTCGGGTTGTGTTTGTGATTTTTATAGTATTTAGAGCATCATTTTTCTTTTTAATTTTTTTTTATACTGGTTTATTTACAAAGTTTGAATACATTGTTTTTCCACTCAGGAGCTCTCCCATTTTCTTCACCACTACCCATCAAATTGTACCACTCTATGATTAACAACTCCTTCACCCATCCTTACCCCTCTGCTTCCACCCTCCTCCTGAGGGCATCATTTAAGTGCACTATTAAATGACAAGAAGCTCAACCTGTCAGAGCCCCTAAAAACAGAATGCAAACAAAAAGAGTAACATTTTTCTCATTACTTGTCTATTTCTAGTGAGAAACTCTTCTTTGTGTTTTAAATTTGGAATAAACTGAGCCCCTTCTTTGTGTCCAGAGCTTGACACATATAGTAGAGAAATATGCATATGTTTTTGTGTACATATCTCTCTCTCACCAGTGATAAAAATGAGTTTATAAGGCTAATACACTTTCAAGAATTTGAGAATAATTACGTTTGAATCACTTAAATCCGCACTCATGGTGATAGACTATTTCCATACAAGATGACCTTTCTCAAATGAATCAGTCCTCCCTCCCCTTTCCCCTTCCCCTCCACTTTCTCTTCTCTTCCCTTCTATACAGATTGAGCTTCTTTCTTTGAAACTCTCTGGCTTTGAAGTTTTTGTAAGTCGTTCACCTAGGAGATGAGCTTTGAGGTATTTCTTTTTAAAGCACTTACTGTCAAAGCTCCCGAAGCGTCAGGGCAGTAGATATGACACTGTTTGGTGGATTTTCATCTCCAATTTCATAAAATATGTTGATTGCACATGCGCACACTTATGTGAGAAAGCTCCCCAAACACTCATAGTTCAAAGAACTCAAGGATGAAAGTCTCCCCTAGTGCAGCTTGACTCAATAAACGCTAATATGCCCTCTCCAGAGGCTAGACACCATCATGTTTTATCATGTCAGTAACTCATGCAGTAAGAGGGCCCCAAGCTGACTTGACATAATAGGAAGTGGTCCTGGTAGTTTTGCATGACAGGCGAGCTGTCAAAACAGAAATGTTAGTTTATTTTAAGTGATCCATTGATTCTTTTCTGTGCCCTGGCATGGCACAGAGCGGGTGGTTCCCCCACTTCTTGTGCTTTCCCACTGACAGCTCTAGGTTTGACAGCAAGGCCAAATATAAGCTCCCAGAATTTACAAGTAGCAGCCTACAAAAGAGCCATGCTGCATGTAAGGTAACCTGTGCTCCATGTGTTCATTCTAGTTTGGACAGTACAGCATGTGAAAGAAACTCCCAGAATGCATCTTCCCAAGCATATTAATCTGCTTGACAGGCCTTTCTTCGGAATGAGTATTCATTTTTAAGTACATCATTGAAATCTGATACCTGTTTGGTCTCCTCAGAAAAGGCTGAGAGCAGTGGTTACTCTTTGTGCTTTCTATGCTTCCTGAAAACTCCGTTTTCTTTTCTATTATTATTTGTTCTTACATTTACTCTGGGCTTTCTATAAATACCTTTCCTCAGGGAGCTCTGGTGACCTAGTAGGTAAGGGAGTTGTGCTGCCAACCCAGAATCAAGTGGTTCAAATCCACCAGCTGCTCCTCAGGAGAAAGATGAATTACCACCTCCTGTGTGACTTATAGCATCTGAAAAACCCATTGGAGGGTCAGCTATATGAGTTGATTCCGACTCAACAGCAGTGAACTATGACAACAATAATAGGTTTCATTAAATTATTCCTGGGTTTAGAAACTGTGGGTGACTCCCCGAATTTTGTCGGATTAAATCTAGTCCCTCTTTTCTTCCTCGCCCCCAATCCCCTGCCTCTATCTTATTTATGCTTCTGCCCAAACCTATTTATCACCTGAATCCTCTGTTGTTTTTCTTCCAACATCATCTCCCTCACTCTCTTCCCCATGCAGACACACACACGTACAATGCTTATTTTTTCACCATTTCTGTTTTCATTTCTTTTGCTTGAGCTATGCCCCTCCATCCTACCTTTTTGCTTCTTTATCATATTCTTTCTAAGGCCACCTTAAAGTCCTCCCTTACTACTCTATAAATCTATTCTGACTTCCCAGGACATTGGTGATTTATATCACATAATGAGGCACTAATTTATCCTTTAATTTTTTTTTTTAATTTTTGTGTGTGTGTGTACCGTCAAATTAGATCTGACTGGTACAGGAGGAGATTGTCCCTCCTTTCCCGGCAGAGCATCTGGTGGATTCGAATCGTGAGCCTCTGGGATTGTAGTTGCAGCTCCTTGGCATTAGGCCACCAGAGCTTCCCTAATTTTTTTTTAAAGTAATTGACTGTTAAGTCTTTTTTTTCCAGCTAGACTGGGGCCTTCATGAAGGCAGTTGTCCTCCCAGTGTTGCCCTTGAGGTTAAGTCCCCCAAGCATTCTTCATTCAGCTCCTGAGCATCCTTTCAACACATCCACACCAAGAATGGTGACAGAGGAGCCACATGGTAGAATCTGAATTTGCACAGCAATTTCACTGAAGTGATAATCCTCACCTTGGTTTAGAGCCGGGCCTCCAGAAAGCAAGAATCTGCCTTTTTTTATGCTGGCTCTTTGGCAATATGTTTGCTAGTTTTTGTGAAATTTTTGTAGTTCATAATGACAGACTGTTTGCCTAAAATAATTTTCTGCTTCCTTCTTTCAGTTTACTATTAAACCCCTGGATAAAAAAATTGATGTCTTCAAATTTAATTCCTCAAAACTTCGTGTTAATAAGCTGGTAAGTTGCAATTTTTTTAATTACTGATACCTGTAATTTTCTAAGAAATTGAAACTTCTTTTTAAAGATTCACAGCACCATCTTGTACAGTGAATTTGTAGACCTTGAAAAATTTGTAGAGTGGCCTAAAGAGTCAATTCAAATATAATGAGAGATTTTTTTTTAATTATTTTTATTGAAGTACTTCATACATACAAAAAGGAGCTCTGATGGCCAAGTGGGTAAGGAGTTGGCACTGCCAACCCGCAAGGTTGACAGTTCAAATCCAAAATAAAAATGAGACTTTATAAAATGAATTTTCTTTTTCCTGAAGTAATTCATACATATAAAGGATTAACTGTATGTATATAAGATACAAAGGATGAAAGTGAATACCTGTACACCTACTCCCCGGCTTCAAGAAATAGTTACACTTCTAATAGATTAATGGGGGTAAGTGTGTTGGAGACAGTGAGCTTAGCTCAGGATAGGTCAGGGTTCAGGGCTCATGTTCAAAGTGTCACTATGAGTCACAGTCAGCTCCATGGCACATAACAACAACAGTGCTGTTTGAAAGGAACCTTGGTGGTGTGGTTAGTGAGTGCTTGGTTGCAAAGTGAAATGGTGGTGGTGCAAACCCACCAGTTATTCTGTGGAAGAAAGAGATGTGACAATCTGCTTCTGTAAAGACTTCCCACCTTGGAAACTCACGAGACAGTTCTGCTCCATCCTCCAGCAACACCGTGAGTTATCATCATCTTCATGGTGGGGAAGTTGACTTTTATTGGTCTGTGATCATAAAGATATTCTAAGGTTTTCATCTTCACATTAGAATCTGTAATCCTTTGGGAATTGATTTTTATGTGGTGTGAGGAAGGGATCTTACTTATTTCCCCAACATATTTTATCCCTGACACAAATAACTTATAATACCAGCCTAGTATAGTGAATAAGTCTTCCTGATCTGCAGAGCCACACACCTTGACTTGCAAAGAGATGCATCCAGAAGACACGATGAAGTGTTCCCTCTTCCTCTTTTCATTTGTAATTTTTTTTAATTTAAACCTGTTGGTGTATCTGAAGCATTTTGGTTTTACGTGTCCACACAGACCAGAGGCCGTTAGCACAAGCTGGATCTTCACATTTGTCTTCAGGTTGAGCTGTGCCCCTCCATCGTACCTTTTAGCTCGACCAACATGCTGTAGCGCTGGTGAGCTGGCAGGTCAGGAGGTAACTTCGTGGGTTTGATATTTCTCCTGCTTTCTTGACCACAGATTCTCCAGCTGTGTATTGGGAACCATGATCTCTTCATGAGACGGAGGAAGGCCGATTCTTTGGAAGTTCAGCAGATGAAAGCCCAGGCCAGGGAGGAGAAGGCCAGAAAGCAGGTAAGACCTTGTGTGAACTACCTTTGTCACCGCTTGCTGTCAGCCTTGGGCTGGGAAGCAGAGAGTGAGTGTCGGCTGGCAGATGTCACTTGGCCGTGGATACACCTTTTATTTCATTCCTGTGGAGTCTTTATTGACGGATGGCCAGCCGGTGAGATGTCAGCTCTGGAGATGAGAAAGAAACTAATTACAGATTAAAAAAAAAACTTCTGTAGTTATTCTAATGCCTAAGTTAAAAATGAAACTGGGTGTGATCAGCACAGCTTTGGGAGAAGAGGTGCGCCCATCCCTTAAGCTCGCTTGCTTGCTTTTCCTACCTGCCTGTCTCCTTCCCCTTTTCCCCTTTTCTAATTAGATGGTGATAGGAAGCGTGGCTGTATTTCGGGGGGCTTGCTGCCAGAATGCTAATTAACCTCCAGCCGCACTCCCCACTGCAGGCTGCCAGGGCAGTTCTTCCCCCGCAGCAGGAGGAACTGGAGCGAAGCGAGGCTCACTGGACAGGCTGCATTATTGCTTTCCACTCATAGACCATTTGTATTCGCCCAAACCCACACAACTCATTCGAACCTCACTGCAAGAATATCGGTTGTTTTTCGACAAACTACTAAATTACAGGCTGCTGTCCCTGAGACTTGCAGGCTTGAAGGTGTAATTACTAGTCCCTGTGCTACACTCTGGCTTGTGTACACTGGTGAGGGCCCCAGTCTGATCCACTGTATTTTTGCTTCTCCTTCTCTTTGCTTCCTGAAACAACCACTCGGGATGTGCTCTTTTGGGATGGAGCATGGGGGCTGGGTTTTGTCACACAAAGAAATGCTTCTGAGCCAGTCCAGGGTCACAGGGGCAACTTGAAGAAGAGGCCCTTCTTTCCAGCAGAGAGCAGAGCTTAGAAGTGAGAGATCTGAAAATACCAAGGACCACAGGGGCCTCAGGGCCCTGGCAATGAATACAATGAACACTCCACCCTGCCTAGTGTCAGCCCAGCCTGACCACCCTGCATCATGGCAGGTGGGGGGGTCCGTGGCCCAGGGAGGCAAACACTGCTCTTGAAGCCAAGTCTGAGACTTGTATGTGACTTTAGTGAATCACTTTTGTCATCCATTAAAGGAAGCTGATGATACACTTCCTTTCTCTGTCTCGGATAAAAGGACATGGCATACCTGGATGTTTTTGTAAGCAATGAACGAGTTTGCAAATATGGTGGAGATCTCAGAGAATGATAGATAACGCTGGAATAAAGGAGATTGTCTGAGGTTTTTTTAAGTGGAGAACAATAGGGATTTAATAATCCACTTAGGGTTCCCAGGTGATACAAGCATCAGTATGCTTGGCTGCTAACTGGAACATCCTCCAGTTCAAACCCACAACCTCCTTTGAATATATCAGTCACTGCAAGTCCTGGGACTCACTTAGGGCCTCCGTGAATCAGAACGACTCCACAGTAACTGGTAGTATTTTTTTGTCTGTCTGTTTAATAATCCACCTGATGGAAGCTATATTATGATGCTAAGTAGAAACCAAATTGACCAAGCTTTTCATTGACCTGCAAAGGGCCAATTAGAGAACCTAATATTTTATTGCTGGTCTTTGCATTATTCTTTCAAATTCCAATGGATTTTTTTTTTCTTTTTTGCTTACTATTTAGAAAAAGGAACAGTCTTTGAAATCTTGTTACTAGAGTTTAGGATGAGATTGGAGTGAGGAGTCAATAATTAAGCCTGCTTTAATGAATTATTTAAGGAGGAACTAGCACCACGGCCACTTCCAGCTTCTGCTTTGTGAACTCAGTCAGTACACAGCAATCATGGAGAACAGCCCTTGTTCTGCTTATTCCCCTTGTTAAGCTCGGCATGTGGCCCGTCTATTGCAGTGATGCAGAAGGCACAGGAGGTGGTGGCAGCCCTGTGCTGGTGACTGCAGGACAGGGGGAGCTGCGTTTCCTGCCTGGCTCCCGCCTGGCGCAGACCTGGCTCAGGAGTTGTCGCTGCACGAGGCTGTGAGATTTTGCGCCGTGACTGCCGCAGCTCCCCCCTGTGAAAGACATTGTGTGAACTACTGGTGCATTCTGTAGAACAGTTACGGCTTCTCCATCTTCTCCGGGCCCAAGGCGTGATTGGAGTGCTTGTTGATGGAATTGGAGGTTTAGGGAAGGTCCACAGAATTGCAGAATTAGGAGTGGCAAGAGTCTCAGTGACCACAGGAGAGAGCTGGTAGTGGGGCTCCATTTCAGCAAAGGCAGAACTGACATTATGGCCTCAGGTCAGCACTACATGAGATTTTCCAAATAAAAGAGAAGCTGACAAGGTAGCTATTACAACACATAGATATTTAGAACGCTGCCTCTATTTTTGCGGTAGACACTGGCTGCCTTGGTTTTTTTTGTTGTTTTATTTCTTCATTTACCACTAATTTTTTTTTTTCTTCTCTCTCTCTCTCTTCCCAAAAGATACAGCTTTCAACTTGCCAAGTGGTTTAGGAAGAAAGAGGATGGAGGGGGCAGGGATGAGCCTCCCTAATGGGAAGGGAGGAAAAGGGCGCCCTGGGTGACACAGGAGACCGACCGTCATGGGGATCTGTGGCATCCTAGGCCTGGGACTCTGTGACCAGGACGGCTTTCTCCCCCACTCTCAGATGGAACGACAGCGCCTTGCGCGTGAGAAGCAGATGAGAGAGGAAGCTGAACGCACAAGGGACGAGTTAGAGAGGCGGCTACTACAGATGAAAGAGGAGGCAACGATGGCCAATGAAGCACTGGTGATTCCCAAGGCTGGGCCCCCGAGGCTGCGTCAGACGGCTTTAAATCAGGGACATTGGCTCTGATTCTGTTTCCACCTAAGAACACTAGTACCTTTTCCTTCCGCCTGGGCTGACAGAAACAGACTGCAGCTTCATTTCTGTGCAGCCGAGTTCCACTCTGTCCGTGGGCTCATCTTTAGAGTGGGTCTTCTCCCCACTGTGGTGTGTAGGGCCAGATCCCTCTGTGGTGGGAGCTGTCCCCTGCACTGTGATGTTGGGCAGCATCCCTAGCCTCTGCCCACTTGATGCCCCCACTAGATGCCAGTACCACTCCTCCACCTGTGGTGATGTTTTGTTGATATACTCCACTGAGTCAGAACCAACTCGTAGCTGACCCTCCACAAGTTTTCAGAGATAATAAATCACACAGGAGGGGACTGCCTATCTTTCTCCCATGGAGCAGCTGGTAGATTCAAACCGTGTGCCTTTGGGATTGCAGTGTGGTTTCTTACCTCTACGCCTGTAGTAACGGTCCCTAGGCATTGCTCTTTGGCCCCGGGAACAAAATTGTCTCTAGTTTTGAAGCACTGATTTAAAAGGAAGGAAGGACAGTATCAGTTTCTTTTCTCCTTATAAAATATAATCCCGAGGTCAAGGTGTACTCAGAAAAGATGCTCTTTCTTACTGCTCTCCATCAGTGGAGACCTGAAATGTCCTTCTGAAAAATTGGAGGTCCAGCTTGTTATCTGTGTGGAGATTCACTGTGGGGTGGGGGTGGGGGTGGGGCACTAAGTGGCAAGGAATCTGAGTCTGGCCAAGGCCATATATTGCAGGAGGATAGACATGTGGTCATCATTCCAGCTGACAGGACTCTTTGCAGATGCGCTCTGAGGAGACAGCTGACCTGTTGGCGGAAAAGGCTCAGATCACCGAAGAGGAGGCCAAACTCTTGGCACAGAAGGCTGCAGAGGCCGAGCAGGAAATGCAACGCATCAAGGCCACGGCCATCCGCACGGAGGAGGAGAAGCGCTTGATGGAGCAGAAAGTGCTGGAGGCAGAGGTGCTAGCACTGAAGATGGCCGAGGAGTCTGAGAGGAGGTCAGCAAAGGGGAATCCACCTCCCGCTCGGCCAGGGCCCTTCCCTGAGTCAACTCAGCTCAGCTGTCTAAGCCGTTTCCCTATCTTCTGGGCCAGGGTGAGGGCTCTTCCTTGACAAACCAGGCAAAGATTTGAGGCTGGCACTTTTAGAAGAGACTTGAACACACACTCCTCACATGACTTCCATGGTATCTTTGCAAAAGCCCCTTTCCTTCCACTTCCCCCTCCCCTACCTACCTCCTCAGCCCCTCTCCTTCAGATAGCCATGTTCTCAGGGAAACCACTGAGCATGTCCACAGATGGCTTTTAGCTGAGGAGATCCGAGAAGTCTCTTTCAGCACTAAAAAAACCTAGTTCTTCTACCCTTTTTTATAAATCTTTAGAAAGCTTGGATGACCGTGAATCTTTCTTCTTGAGTTCTAACTTTTGCTTCTTTTTTTTAAACTTTTATGTTTTAAATCATTAGTTTTGTTGTTTGGGGTTTTTTCTCCTGCTGTGTGCCATCAAATTAGATCCAACTGGCACAGAAGGATATTGTTCCCCCTTCTCCAGTGGAACATCTGGTGGATTTGAACGGCTTCCCTTTGGGATTGCAGTGCAGCTTCTTGCAAGTTGGCCACCGAGCTCCCTTAAATCATTATTATGACTGAATCTTTATTGCATGGTCACTCAATTTCAGAATTGCTTGTTGTTGTTTTTATTGTTAGGTACCATCAGGTCGAGTGTGACTCAAAGACCCTATGAACAAAAGATTTAAACCTTGTTCTATCCTGTGCCATTCTCACACTTCCTGACACACTAGAGCCCATTGTGACAGTCAGCATGTCAACCCACCAGGTCGATGGTCAGTCTTCCTATCCTTCCTCGACCCTCCACCCTTCCCAGCATCATGTCTCTCTCCAAGGAACAGCCTGAAGTATGTGAGGTGAAGCCTCATCATCCTTGCCTTCAAAGAGCACTCCAGCTCCACTCTCTTCAAGACATATCTGTTCTGTTGGCCATCCATGGGATGGTCAGTGCTCTTCTCCACAGCTCAAAGGCAGTATTCCTTCTTCTGTCATCCCTATTCATTGTCCAGCTCTCAAATGCATTGCAAGTGATTGGAACGACCATGGCCTGAATCAGACGCACCTTAGTCCTCAAACTGACATCACTGTTGTTGATTACCTTCAAGTCGAGCATGACTCATAGTGACCCTATGAACAAAAGACTTGAAGCCTCTCTACCACTATCAACATTTATTAAAGTTCATAGGGTTTCTGGAGGCATGTTATTTAGGACATGGATGCCACTCCTGCTTCCAAAATCATTACTCCTCAATAATTTGGAGAGGTCCCTAACTGCAGACTTTCCCAATGCAGTAAGTCTCCTTCTTTCCTGACTGCTGGTAACAAGTGTGGTTAGTGCATAAATTTGAAGAATAGTCATGTTGGTTGATGAGTTCCTTTTTAAAGTGTCCAGATACTGTCCTATCACTGACAGTGTTGTATTTCAAGATCTTGAAATGTTCTTTTTGACAATAAATGTAATACCGTTCTTCAGTTTGTCATTTTCAGCATAGTAAAGCATATATGATTGTTCCGTTTAAAAAATGGCCAATCCTAGTTCACCAATCTTAATGTATTCCATTTTTCACAGCTTCCAAGTTTTCCAAATTCATATTTCATACATTGTACTTTCTGATTATTTCATGGCTGCGTAAATGTTCTAAGCTCAAACCCTCACTGTCATCAAGTCCATTTTTTACTCATGGGGACCTTCTCTCCAGTGGGTTTCTGAGGCTATAAATCATAAGGAGAGAGAAGAGACTGCCCCTTTTTCTCACATGGATGTGCATGGCCTCTGGATTAGCAGTAAAACATGGGGGACTATACCTCCAGAGCTCCCTACATCTCGGTTCTTCTCCTTTTGCAGCAATTGCAAAGATTCTTATGTGACAGTTCTTTCCACTGGCTTCCCAGCTCTTCCAATTTAGATTTCTCAGTTGAAATTGAATCCAGGAATGTTGTCCTTGCTCTGAAAGTTCGGATTCCATGCAGATGCCCTTATGCAACTCCACAGTCCTCACTTGTCTTATGCAACTCCACAGTCCTCACTTGTCTTGTCAGCTGCCATCCTCTGGATCAGTCTAAGACCCTCCTCTCTGGAGCAAGGGTTTCTTCCCTCCACTACGAAGCTAACAGCTCCAGTTTTCCTTGCAGGGCCAAGGAGGCAGATCAGCTGAAACAGGATCTTCAGGAGGCCCGAGAGGCAGAACGGAGAGCCAAGCAGAAGCTCCTAGAAATCACCACCAAGCCCACGTATCCGGTGAGCACAGGCAGAGCGGCTCGCTCCTTCCCTGTCCCCCGACGCTTTGCTGTGACAGTGCCTTTCCGAATGACTATTCAAGCAAGTGCATGTCAGAATGAGTGACACAGAGAACCAAGAGCGAATGTCCTTGGTCTGCCAACTAGCCTTGAGCTTAGTTAACTGCCATTCTACTTGCCTATGTAACAGACAATAGGGCCTTTTCTCATTCAAAAGAATGTTTTGCTTTTTCTAAAGCCCCCGTGGTTAAGAGAATTTGCTCATTCGCTTCTTAATGCAAAGCTAAATATAACCTTCAGCAATCAGTGTGTACTGTATACTACCACTGTAGTCCTGTGTATCTCCAAGTGGGTGACGGTAGTACAAGAACCAGCTTTCAACCTTAGTTTTGGGACAAGGAATAGCCACCATCGATTCCAAGCAGAGAGACCTTGTAGAACTGCCCACAGGATTTCCACAGCTGTGAACTTTTGCAGCAGTGGACTGCCACATCTTTCCCCTGCAGAGGGGCTGATGGCTTCAGTTAACTTTTCAGTTGGCTGTCAAGCACTTTATCCACTGAGCCACAAGGACAAAGAGGCAGGCTGCCATTAAATGGAGTCACAAAATGAATAGAAAAGGTTTTTTTTTCCTTTCCTTTGTACATTCAGTTCAGCAAACTGGTTTACACCTCCATCCTAGGCCATATACCTCCAGGGCATTCTTAGCCTCATGACAAGTGTTCATAGAGTGCACTGGGCCTGAGAGGAGGAGTACTTTGCTCAGCCTGGAGGGTCAAGAGAAGTCTAGGGGTGGCCCCAGGAATGAGCACTGAGGGGTGAGTAGGAACTTCCTGGTGGGGAAAAGATGCACATAAGGCCTGAATATGGAGATTCTTGCTTGTTTATCATTGTTCTTTTTGGTACAGCACTTGTCTGTCCGTTTGCTGTACTGAGGTAACTTGTGTATGCTGTGATGCTAAAAAGATGTGCTACTGGTGTGTCAAATGCCAGAAGGGTTACCCATGGTGGACAGGTTTTAGAAGAGTTTCCAAATTAAGATAGATTAGGAAGCAGGATTGGCCATCACTTCTTAAACAGCAGGCCTCTGAAAATCAATCATTCATGTTATACTACATGAAAATTTCATGTAAGATAAGGAGATGTAAGTTGCCCAGGTTTGGTGTGAAACAAATGTGAGCATGGTCAGTTTGTTTTATGTTCTGGTTATATCTTACTCTATGATGATTGCCCTATATTTCTCTAAACAAGCTTTGTTTCAAACTTTGTGTTTGAAACACTTTTTATCACTTCTTGTGGGGCTGGACAGCCCTCCCGTGAGATCTCTCAGATTATAGTCAGATGGCAGCTGGCATTTGAGTCATCTGGATGTTCAACTGGACTCCCAGGATGTGTATATTTTCAAAACATTCACAACTGCAAACTATGCTCTAAGCATATTCTCTTTTTAGCAATAAATCTCGGAGGATGTGTCGTAACTTTTTTTTATTATTAATTTTAATAGACATTTACAGAGGTTTTGGATTTCCATTCATTCATTGCCGCACTTTTCTCCCTGCCCAGCCCTCCCCACCAGCTCGCTCCCCCTCCGAAGAGAAAAAGAGAAAAAAAAATTCCTTCATTAGTATACAATTCCCACATCCTTTCCCCCCCCCCACCCCGAGTACACTTCTCTATGCAACCTTAATTCTGGATTCCTGTGCTAACCATAATACTCAATCGTATATCACTTCTAATCTGTTCTTTCCCTCATCTGTTTCAATACAATACACATAATTTATCCAGTTTTTTCTGTCATACCCCAACCCTGATGTCAGATCCATTCTACAACAGTGGCACCATGCAGTTTTTGTCCCTTTGTGACTGAGATATTTCACTCAGCATAATGTCCTCCAGGGTCACCCACTTTGAATAATATTGCATACGTTCCTTGTTTTTCAAGGCAGCGTAGTATTCCATTGTGTGGATATACCACAGCTTCTCTATCCATTTGTTTGTTGATGGGCCCTTAGGTTGCTTCCAACTCTGCTATTGTAAACAAAGCTGCGATAAACAGGGGTGTGCGTGTAGTAACTTTTTAATATACATTCTTATATGGATGTATCATAATTCCTCTAACCAGTTCCGTTTTGAGGGAGCTCTGGTGGTATCGTCTAAAAGGAGCTGTGCTGCTGTCCCAGAGGACAAATCTACTAGCCCGTGTCATTAACAGCCTTGGAAACATTCATTAGAGGGTCAGCTTTGAATCTGTTCCAATTTGATAACAATGAGTTAGAGAATCAGAGTTCCCTCTTGGTGGATATTTGGCTTATTTTCTTTTGCAATTGTGAACAAAACCACACTGAACAGTCTTAGACACAAATCTATGTGCTTTGCTAGAGTACATTCTTATAAATGAACTGTTGTGTCAAATTTTTAATTTCTGATACTCTCCAAAGTGTGTAGGTTTCTGTTCTCATTCAGGGCTCAGCACCTTAATTTTTAGAAAAATTTTCATATCATATAACATGCATGATTGGTTTTCAGAGGCCTACTGTTTAAGAAGTGGATGGCCAATCCTGCTTCCTAATCTATCTTAATCTGAAAGCTCTGTGAAAACCTGTCCATGATGAGTGTCCCTTTTGGCATCTGACACACCAGTAGCATAATTTTCAGCATCACAGCACCCACAAGTTACCTCAGTACAGCAAACTGACAGACAAGTGCTATACTAATAAGAACAATGGTAAAGAAGAATGTAGATACTTAAGCTAGAAAGTGATTAGCAATATGTAAATCATTCCCCCAATACAACTGGCTGACAGATAAGGCTCAGGTTAGGAGGCTCCAATGCTGAATCTCAGGCACCAATTCTAAGGAAGGCTTTCTCTCTCTGGTAATTCTGGAGGGAGGTTCTTGTCTCTGAGTTCTGTTCCTGGATTGTCTTCCTGTGGTTTCCTTGGAGAGGGACATCATGCTTGGAAAGGTAGAGGGATGGTGAAAGGGAAGAAGACCCTTAACGAGATGGTTTGACACAGTGACTGCAGCAATGGGCTCAAGTGTGTCAGAAATTGGGAGGTTGGCACAGAATAGGACAAGGTCCTGTTCTGCTGTTCATAGGGTTACTATGAGTCATATTTGACTTGACAGCACCTAACAGAACATGTATGCAGAAAAGTGTTCAAGTTGTCAGTTGTATAACTTGATGGTTTTCCACAAACTGAACACACTGTGTCCCCAGCACCCAGATCAGAAGCTGATGTTGCAGTATGCTAGAAGCCCTCTCAGCACAACCTGTCGTGTCTGTGCGGATGGTCGGCCTCAGGTCTGCCATCCTCTCAGTCCCCTGAGCCTTGCCTGTTTCCCAGGCCTTGCCCTGGCCCTCACTAAAGAGGCCAGGAATGAAGAAGAGGCAGATCCTGTGCTCAGCAAACTTCCAAGAATTTAAAGAAAGCAGTACAGCCAAAAACAATTACAGCATGAAATAAAGAAGTGCCTCCCAGTACCTCAAAACTAACACTAAGGGAGGCAAATAAGAACTGCCCTCTAACCTAGAGGATTCTGGAAGAGCTCTTGTGAGAGATCCTAGTGTTTCAGTATCAGATGGGCCTTGAAAGTGAGATGGTGCGTGGCACCAGATATGGTACAAGCAAAAACATAGAGATGAGAAATCAAGTGGTTCAAGGATCGCAGAGGATCCTGTTTGCTGTTTTTGTAGGGCAAGTAGTGGGAGGATTTGAAGGAGTAAGCTGGGGCTATATCTTAAATGCTTTTGTTTTCAAGAAAGTTGTAAAGCAGATCTTACTACTTCATTGTTTGCTTTAATAATTCTTCTGACTCCTCCTTTATATCCTGGGTCACTGAGCTTAAACATCAGGGCTCCTTTATGGGCAGGTCCTGATCTCCCAGCCCACTTCTGTCTGCTGCAGACACCCAGCATCCTCACAGAGATGTGGCCCTTCGTCCTGCCATGGCCATGCACGTTCACTGTTCTCCTCCCTGGCCAGTCTTCTCCTTCGTATGTGTACTCTGACACCAGTAGAAGCCATGTCTCCTCCCATGTGCTGTTTCTAGCGCCCCCAGCTCCGTCCACTCCCTGGCTATAGTGCTCATCTGAGTTAACCATGATGTTTTTCTGAACTAGACCCTCAGCTGTTCAGAAGGCTGGGAACCATGTCTGTTCTCTGCATCTCAGAGCTTAGGGGCTGGGCGTTTCTGAAGTGAAGAAGTGAGCGAGAGTTTGTCTTTCATTTAGCTTGGAGTGAGGAACTATTAAAGGTCAGAGGGAAGAATGCCTGGCTGTGATCTCTTGGAGGAAGTTCGTGTGCTAGTGGCCTGTGTGTAGAGGTTGAAGAAAGGAGAGACGAGAAGAGTGATAATTGGAACAGAGAGTCAGGGTAAAGCTGGAAGGGAAGGACTTGAGTTGTTGTGTAGCTGCTGGAGGGTCAGTTAACACACTGTCCTCTGTTCTCGTATGACTCAAACCTTCTAATCTGAGCTTTCTCATTAATAGCCTATGAACTCAATTCCAGCACCGCTGCCTCCTGACATCCCAAGCTTCAACCTCATTGGCGACAGCCTGTCTTTCGACTTCAAGGATACTGACATGAAGCGGCTTTCTATGGAGATAGAGAAAGAAAAGTACGTAGCCCTCGTGTGCCTGTTCTTACTACACTGTGGACCTCAGGGTTGGGACACAGGGAGCCCGAAGGAGTTCATCTGGGCCTGGGGAGAGAGGGCTTAGTAATGCCACCCGGCGTGCTTCTGCACGTCCGCTCTAGTGTTGTCCACTGGACGAGGAATTTCTTAAGGACAACTGACCCTCCAGGGTAGAAATAACACTTGATTAGAGACCCGGAGTTCCAGTAGTGCACAATCTCTGTTTAGAACTGGCCTATCTGGGTTTCAACTTCAGAACAGTCCAGCTTGTTTGTGTGCTAACTGCCTACAGTTGTTTGCTAGTTCTCGTGTGGCTGGCAGGTCCTCATTAGACATGCAAGAGAGAAAAGAAACTCAGGCTCGAGATGAGAGAGGTCATGTGGCCAAGGTGACTGCCCAAGTGGGCCAGCTTGGGGTACAGGACCAAGCTGAGCCCCCACTCTCCCTGGTCTTGGAAACATCAACTCAGCATTTCCATCTCCTTTATTTAAGGTCAGTGGAAGCAGATCACTAGATGGTGCAGACAGTTAATGAGCTGAACTGCTAATGTTTAGAGGTTCGAGTCTGCCCAGAGTTACCTCAGTGGAAGTGGGACACTAGGTGGTGCAGACAGTTAAATGAGCTGAACTGCTAATGTTTAGAGGTTCGAGTCTGCCCAGAGGTGCCTCAGCAACAGTGCCTGGCAGTCTCCTTCCAGAAAGTCAGCCCTGAAGCCCTTTGAATCAAAACAGTTCTATTTGGATACACTTGGATCATCATGAGTTGCAGCAACTCTGTGGAAAGTGGCTTGGAAGTGGGTCACCGATAGAGCACAGGAAGTCCAGCTGAGATCTCCTGGTCCCCAGAGCCCTCTGCAGATGGGCTTCTGCTCTTGTGTGGCAGAGCATGCTGCGGCTGTTGTGTCACAAGAGCGACTTTGTGTTGTGTGCCCATGTGTCAAGGCTTTCCAGCTCTCATCTCATTTGATTTCCGTAACTGATGTCAAAGGTAGATTCTACTGTTGCTGTTTCCTACATGAGAAACCTAGATTAGGGGAGAAGCTCACCTAATATCACTCAGCTGGTGAGGAACAGAGCCAGGATTCAATCTGTGACCTGGCCGACTCTCCAGCCCTTGTGCTTTTACATCTGTGACGTCCTGAGCATAACTTCTTTGGAGTCCAGGTAGGCAACCGGAAGTCAGGTTGTGTTTCTCTCTGGCCTCTTCTGTCAAAGGTATAACCAGGTCTCCCTCTGTAGTGTGTGCTGTCCAAGTTCTCCTCTCAGCCTTCCTCTCACTCCAAGTGGCCATATTTAGGTGGGTAAGGTCAGGGGCTCTGGTGGCCTCGTGGCAAGAAGCTGCACTTCAATCCCAAAAGCATGCAGTTTGAGGCCACCAGTTGCTCCGTGGGAGGATGGGCAGTGTCCTCACATGCGATTAACTACCTCTGAAAACCCTCCAGAGGGTCAGCTATGGGTCAATTCTGACTCGACGGAACACAACGGGAGAAGGCCACCCCTTTTTAATGTCCTGGTTTTTAATGATTTCTGTTGTTTTCTTTGCCTGTGTAGATGAAGTGCACGCAGGCTATTGTGATATTCTTTCCATGGCTTCCTTGCCCATCCCCTCATGTTCACTCACTTGGGTGGTTTGAAGATTCATACCATCATAGGTCCTATTCCTCAGTGTATCTACTTGCAAGTGACAGTAGTGACCTCGTGGTCCCTCTCCAGAGAGGTGGCCTTCCTTGACTGAGGGGATGTCTGTCGTATTCAGATCGTGGAGTCCTTAAGTGAGTAGAGTATGGACCTCATGATGTCGGTTGACTGCAATTACCGTGCTTTGTAGGCTCCCACAGGGAGATGATCTTAGATACCAGGAATCTTGTTTCATGTGTTGTTGGTGGGTTTTGGTTTTGGATTTTTGTTGGTGGTTTGGTTTTTTTTTTTCTGTACAGCACTAGGAGCTTTCTCTGATAACTGATATTTGTAGAGCACTTTATAAGTATTTACAGAGGGCTTTCCTATATTTATTTAATCCCAATTTCATGGAGGAGGACGTTGACTCCACACGGTCAAGTGACTACGCCAAGCTCCCAGGCCCATATATTGCAGAGGGACATCAATTGCTGGCTTCCGGCCCCGGGCCCCACGCTGAGCAGCTCAGTTTATGGAGCATCTTGGTTGAGCCGATGTCCCTTGCGGTGGCCAGGGCCGTGACTGGCGGTATCCTTTTGCCGGCAGAGTGGAATACATGGAGAAGAGCAAGCATCTGCAGGAGCAACTCAATGAACTCAAGACAGAGATCGAGGCCTTGAAACTGAAGGAGAGAGAGACCGCCTTGGATATTCTGCACAACGAGAACGCCGACAGGGGCAGCACCAGCAGCAAGCACAACACCATTAAAAAGGTACCCAGAGCCCCTTGCCTTTTGCTGATCAGGGCAATCATTAATGAAATGTGAATTTGGCATCTGGTTTCTTCCATGGTTGAGTCATTAGACTCCTGTCATTTCTTATATGTACTTAGTTGAGGACATTTTTTTGCCTTGTGCCAGAAAGGGAATTTAATCTGTGAACTATTGGCTCGATGGAGGCAGAGCCTGCGTTAAAAGCTCTGATGAAATGAATCCCCGTTAGGGTGTGTGTTTTGATCCATCATTAGCAGTAAAGTGGTTCTGTCTTCTAGGCCAAGGGGAGTTCTGCCCGGGGAGCTGCCTTACTTAATGAGAAAGCAAAATGAAATAGAGGCTATCGAGAACAGGCTCCCTCTGGTCTTTTGTGTTTTTAAGTGGCAAGGACTGTAAAATTCTGTTCTTGATTTGGAGACCAGAGTATAAAATTTTACCTTTTTCCACGCTTGAAAGGAAGTATCAAGGAGAATCTTCATGTTTTAAAAAGATGAGACTTCATTATATTGATGACCGTTCTCTTACCTTTGTCTGCTGAGGGTTTTTTTAAGCTTTCAGCATTTTAAAGCAAGTGAAATTCCTTGATAATTAACTAGCCCACAAATCACTTCTCTTATGTTGGGCAAAGAAGAAAGATTCTCTCTTGCCAGATACTCTTAATTAATAGCCAGGATCATGTTAACACCTGTGAAGTTGGTGTCATTAATATAAGACTATGCATTGAGTTTCAAGGTATGGCTAATATTTTAATTCTTTACCTTGGTCTTTGAAATGGTCTCCCAGTTTAAGAAATTTCTCTGTCATGTGCATTTAAGCTATATGTGAAAAAGCAGAGAAATTTTTTTCTTTGTCAGCGGATAAAATGTGGACCCTGACTTCTTCCTCAAACTCAATTTACTGTCAGCTCCAGGTTGAGAGCTCTTTTTATTAGCATGACGTAGAAGGAGATGCTTTTCCATATCTCTGGCTTGGGTGGTCTGCTGGGGTTCCCTTCCAAAACAAAATTATTCTAACAGCAAAAGGGAGAATGTTTACAAGAAGGTAGGCCCAGCCAGTGAACAGCGACATAAAATTATGGATGGGTCAGGAAGCCAGTCAGTTCTTGAATGAGTTGCCTTCAGGACACCCCATCACCCCCACATTATCCTCTCAGTACCAGGAACTGTCGGATCTCCCCGATGCTGCAGTGTGCTGGGCCTCAACTCCAGCATCCCAGTGTAGGGGAGGCTGAAGAGGCCTGTTTGTTTGCCAACCCTAAAAAAACCCAACAAGTCACAATTAATTTCAGGCCTGTCTGAGCATTTTTGCAAATGGCACATGTGGTACTGTTGATGTCACAAGGGTATGTTTTTGTTTTCTTCTTCATTTTATTTTGCTGGTTTAGCCTCAAGCCCAAGGCAGAAGACCTATCTGCATTTGAGCCCTCACAGTAGGTTATCCCCAGGTACTCTATGTGGTGATGGTACTGCCGTCTGTGATACTAACCCGTGCATGAGCTTGCCTGTCACTGCCCTCGGGCGGCGCCCAAGCCTTCCCGCGGGCAGGTGGAGCCTGGATGCTGGCCACCGCATGCTTGGAGTCTGAGAGCAGGCTTCTGCCCTGGGGTCTCTCATTCTGAAGAGCATGTCATGGAGCAGTAAGACCCAGCGTCCTTCGCACCTGTTTCACTGTGGGGCTGGGTATGGTCATGGCTTCTTGTCCAGTCAGGTGTGTCTGAAAATCCTTTGTCTTGGTGGCATACTCCTTCCTTAGATAAATGACCCCAGCATGGAAATGGGGGTCACTCTGGTGGCTTTTACAACTGGTATCTTTGACCTATGATCAAAAGCCCATGTGGTGATACCCCCGTGAAGATTCTTGGTTACATCTGGCCAATGATGAAAGAGCTGCCTATTTGCTTTCATTCAACCCTCTCTTACTCTGCACATCTGTTTTCTTCTCGAGGAACCCAAACAAATACCACAGGGCTCTCTGAATTGCAAGTCTGAGTCGATTGGGTGTCCCATCAGCACCCTGAAGAGTGGCACTGGAGAGCGGGGCAGTCATGGGCACGCAGTAGACGATCACTCCATGCTGTTGAGTGAATCAACGAGATGATTGCTGCTTTTCTTCTGCCTCAGTGTTTATTCTCCCAGCGTTTCCCAGCAGTGGGGAGAATTGATTGAGTCCAGTAACACCGTGACAGCCTGCCTCTGCTTCTTACCTAGTCCCTGCTCAGTCCGCTGTCAGTGTTACACATAGCATCTGACAGTGTGGGGACTTGTTCAGAACCTCGATACAGTTCCTGCTACTTTACTGGAGTAGAACCTTCCTTCTACCAAAAGATAGGGAACTTAAAAAATAGGGGGAAATAAATAGAGACCTGTCCTACGAGATACTCAGTTTATGCTTGTTATCCACGCAAGAGAAGTAAGACATTAAAGTACCAAATGGACCTCCTTGCAAGAGGGATTCAGGCCATCACTTGGGTCTGTAGCTCCGATTTGTATGTGACTCTTGCTTTTAGTAGGCTCTGATTTCTTCAGCTTTCAAACAACACTTAGGATCCCTGAACACTGAGTTCTCTCTAGCACTTACTGTAGCACTTACTGATCAGGTTCCACATCTTCACTTGTAAAAGGACAGTGGTCCTCAGGTCATGCACAGTTAGAGCTCAGTCAGCGTTAATAATATAAAAACTAAACAAAACCCCTAGTGAACCTGTGGTGAGGGCTGCAGACAGGTGTGATAGGCTACTCTCTGCATTTATGGGCACCTTTTGTGATATGCTTATCAAATGTGTTCATTTCCAGACATCTGGTATCTAGAAACGTTATTTTTAAATTTTGATGAGTAAATTTTACAGAGCATATTGAATTTTTGTTCAATCATTCACACACATTTGTTTAACAACGTTAATTACAATACCCACTATGTGATCACACTTTACCCACTTCGTCCTTGTCATTCTCATTTCCATTCATCCTTCTGTCCTACCTTTTCCAGCCTTCTGGGCTTTATCCTTGGGCACATGCTTCTCTCTTGACTTTAAGTGATTGGCTAAGGAGTGAACACCTCCCTGGGGTTATTGCTTACTTTACTAACCTTTACTATTTTTGGCTGAAAGTCGAGCCACAAGGGTAAGTTTTGTTCCAGGTTTGAAGAGTGACTGTAGGCTATATAGTCTCAGCACTCCACCAGTCTCTCTTTGACCAGTAAGCTGGGCCTTTTTCATGTGATTGAGTTATATTCCTCCATTCTATCCAAGATCTTCTCCTGTGATCTTTCGAGTCACTACTCACCCAAGTAGAATGGAGAACACTGTCTCTGTGGACTGTGTTCTACCAGTTGACCTTGATGTCAACAATGGAGAGAAAAACATAAAAACAAAACACAAAAAGAAAACTTGAGGCAGTTAATTTGGCCTTGTACGGGTATATTTTTCTCCTGCTAATCTTAACTCCCTCCATTTCCATTTTTCTCAATTGATTATCAGTGCAACTGGCTTGGCATTTGCATCTGCATCAGGGCAGCACTAGCAATGTACAGCCACCATGAGAGCCTGCTTCATTCATGGTCACAGGGAACATCTGAGTTGCTGACACCTGGGTCATCAGAGCAAGGGCAGGGAGACCTGGTCCCCTGGTGGAATCAGAGGTGACACAGGAGGACTTGGTCTTGAACTGCTCCCTTCAGAGGCATAAGCAGCGGCCAGGTGTGGCTCCTGTTTCTAACAAAGATTGGAGATGAACAGGCAGCGCTGTAGAGCTATCTGCTTCAGGGTCTTGTTCTCATCCCCTCCCGAGGGACAGCTTTGATCCTCTCTCTCAATCCTGACCTGGCCTAAATGACAGAAAACCAGTGATTGTTTTGTACCTACTCTGCCTGGGGGTGGGGGAAGTCTGAAGTCTCGAAGGCAAATGAGAAATCCTGGAGGCCATGGAGCTGAGAAAGTTCCTTTTATTAGTGGAATGGTTTGAGCCCTCAAGGTCCAGCTGTGTGGGTGTCCATGGGGTGGGGGGTGGGGGACAGGAATAGAGGAGCCTTGACATTTAGCTGAAGCCCGAGCCACCTCTCTTGGATGTCATCTTCAATTTGTTCAGACTCCCCTTGGAGTGGCAGGGCTGGTGAAGTGAAGTAGAACAGTTCGAACAGCTGAGGAAGTGATAAATCACAGGGAGGAGATTGGGTATGCGTGAAAGGCATCTCCCCCAATTACAGCAAACACCCGAGCCTCCTCGGTGACCTCTGGGCTGTGTCACTGAGCTCCGAGATGCCTCTAAATAGTTATACTTAATTATGTGGCTAATACATTCACCCCTGCTTATGGCTGCTGTGGGGCTCGGCTTCCATGGTCTGGTACCCACTGGCTCCCTGATTCCAGAACCTTCCCTTTGTCATCGGAACACTGCCATGGTGGGAGAGAGGAGGAAAAGGCCAAGGGGTGAGGGGAGCAAGGAGCGACAAGAAACAGCAGTATCAAATGTGGGTGTGTTGTTGTTGTTATGTGCCACTGAGTCAGAACTGACCCTCCGGCGCGTTTTAAGAGGCAGTAAATAGCGTAAGAGGAGACTGCCCATCTTTCTCCTGCTCAGTAGCTGGTGGCCTCGAAGCACAAGCCTTCAGTATTGCAGCGCAGCTACTTGCCACGAGGCCACCAGGGCTCCCTAAAGTGGTTATATGTGAAGGAAAAAACCAATTGCTGTGGCTGAGAATTCTTGCACTCATCTCCTGTCTATCCAGGTCATGTACCTCAAGTGCCAGAAAACGCACCCATTTCTAGGTGCCTCTGAACTGCTGGGGGCTCACCATTTTCTCATATATTTCTGGTAGCCCTGTAGAGAGAAGTGTCTTTTTTTTTTAAGGCCATAGACTTTTTTTTAATTTTTTTTTTCTTTTTAATTGAAGATTCTTCCTGGCCACGCGGTGGTTCTTTGAGGGGATGCTGCCTCGGCTGCTATGATATTTTGCTGCCATTTGGAAGTGCCTGAGGACATTTGCTGGGCTTTATTTGATGCAGT